CCTGGGAAAAAAAAAAAAAAAAAAAGGAGTAGATTTGTTTGCTACAAAGTATTTTTTGAAGAGAAAATGGAAATGAGCAGCAGTCAGAATGGACTTGTTAAGACAAAAATTATGGCACACCAAGATAATTTCCTTCGTATAATTCGTAATAAGCTTTGTAGCTAGCTAGAGTGCTGATGAAATTAGTGCAGGTTGGGTGCAAACCCGCAGAGAACTACACTCAGCAACTACACACTCTGGTTCACGACCAGAGTGGAAAAAGAAACTGAGAGAGGTTTTGTAGGTATCTATCCTGAATCTAGACCCTTGTACTGATTTAACTCATGATCTGGAGGCCTGAATAGAGAAGGAACTGATTACATCTGCAGAAGATATGATGCTGGAAGAGACCACAAGTAAGACAGGATTAGAATTCAAGATGATTTTACAAGTGTCATCCAAGACTTTATAGGCAGGGATGTCTGCAGGACACACAAAGCTACCTCTCTGTTCTGCCTGGCATTTGTGAGGCCCCAGTAATTGGTTCCTACAGAAGGAAGAATGACTTAAGTTATATATTCAGAAAAATTTATAAGAGTGAAATGTCTGAAATAGATTGCCAAGGAAGGTCCAAACACCTCTTTCCTTGGACATCTTTAGGAAGAAATTAGGCAAATGTTTAAGAAATTACTCACGTAGAGATGATCCTGCCATTGAACAGATGGATGAACCACGTCACATTTCTTTTCTCTTTTAACTTTTCTCCTTGGTGCCCACATTCTCCCTCCTTGAAAAAAACAGAATACAAAAAAATGTTATTTGCTTACCTCATTTCTAAATACAGTGCAATTTTAACAGCCGCACAGAAACAAAGTGGTATTTCATGTTACCAAATTGTCATATTCCTGCCTTGTTTTTTAAATTCAATAGTTCATCTAAATTATATGAAAGTTAGATCACTTGATTGGTCTGGCCCCAGTTTATAAAGGGTTTTGCTGTATTAGTTGCCAAAAGTAATAACTGCATACAAACACAGAATGCCATAGGACTGTAAAATCATTTAGGTTGGAAAAGACCTTTAAGGTCATCATGACACAATACCTACACATTACCCCTCCCTCCCCAAACCTCTTTGCAGCTTTTAACATGATGCCTGGCTTCCATTTTCACAAAGCCTCTGCCAACACACTTCTAAGGGGAGATTTTGAGCCTTTGGAAAGCAGCTTTTTGGGTTTTTTCACTTTATATGCTTCGTGATACTAAATAGGTCTCCACAGAAAGCTCTTAGGGAAAAGCTGAAAGTCGGGGGTAGAATTCCCTTTGAAAATTTGCCATGTCCAGTTTTTGTTAAACAGTCAAATGCTGAAGGAGAAAGTTTTCAGGTTCAAGCTGACAGGTCAACTATATCTACTATGTTCATCTCTCTTTGTCAACTCATGGCTCAGATACTGGAGGGAGGAAGATGATATGATAAGCAGGGTAAAAGAAAGATCAGCCATGACATAAGTGAGATTCTTAGTCTCTGAACAGATATGGAAGAATCACTGAGAAAAATTAGTATGTTGAGCAAGTCCAGGGAAGTTACTGGGGCAAGGTGTCAAATAAGCTCGATACCTGAGAATTGATCTGATGGAGAGAGTTCAACCAGACAGAAAGACTGCATCAAACCTGAGTAGCAAGTCAAACAGTGGTTCTGATTTCTTAAAGGAAGTTCCTAAAATCCTGTAGTGCTTGGACCATCGGAATGTTCCACTCGAGAGAAAAGGGCATAGTGCCAACTCTGTAGGAAAAGTATATAAACCCCACAAAAACTAACAATAGGTGCCCTAACTCTATATCTAGATGCAAATTATAAGTCCTCCAAGGAACAAGACATTTAAACCCAATGATTTCCACTAGCCCGCTACCTGCAAAAAAGATTCCAGATATGAACCCAAAATGAAGACTAAGGCAAGATTCACGACTATTAGTCTAATTTTGCACTCCGGTCATTTCTAGCAAGAGCTTATATTACTATCTACTTGTCATAAATTTCTTAATGCATTCTGTAGGCCAGCAACTTCTTTCTTTATGAGGCCACTCTGTACTACTTAATGTGTAAGGCTGTGTAAGGTACCCAAGAAGTCTGTAAAATAACAAGCTCTCTCCATAGGCACCTAGTGACTGAATGTGTTGCTCACGTGTGTCTCTGGGAAAACTCTCAGCACCAGGGCTAACTCCCACTGTCTGGTATTATTTAATTGGAGAGAACTGTTGCAGTGATCCTCGGTACAGGAACATTAACTTCAGCCCAGGTTATGTTGTTCCAAGCCTCATATCAGCATTTGCTCTTATGTTTCAGTGATGTTTTGGTCTATTACAATGAGCAGAAAACATTCTGACTAGATAACCTTAAGTGCCAGCTGATTTCATAAACAATCCCCCTGCCTTCAGTGCTGAGGCAGTAGAAGGCGCTTCATTCTGGCCAGTACCTAGTGTGGTCCTTCTGAATTTCCATCTGGGAGTGCCACTGCTTCCCCATTAACAGAGAGAACATATAGGAAGCCTAGATGGTTAACTGAGTTGAGTAGCTGAGATGCCTGATTTCTGACATTGGAAAGAAGCTTTCCCCTCCTTTTCCTTTGAAGTTTGTGCAGGTAGGACTTTTTTTTTTTCTCTTAACAGAAGAATATTAAAACTGAAAACAAGTAGAAACCATGAATGGTTACTTTTGCATTACACAAAGGAAAACTTTTCCTCACTGGGAGGCTAGCACATCTCAGGAACAGGTTACCAGAAAGACAGTGTAGTCTCCATCCTTGGAGATTTTTTCAAGACCCGATCTAAACAAAATCATGGCTAATCTGACCTAGCTGCTTGGAGTGGGAGGCTGGAGTAGGTGACAGCCAGTGGTCCCTTCCATCCAACGTTTATACAATTCTGTGTCTTTTATCCAAAAGAATCAACTTACTTCTTTCAGATCTACATCAAACATACAATATAATGCAGTTTGATTTTTGCTTGCCTCAGATATACATACATTTTCAGCAGTCTCTCAATTATAAAAGTCAATTTCACAGTTAGTAAATGGTTCATTTATTGATTCTCATCTACTAAATCCAAACGGCTCCACAAACAACAATATACTGGTGATGTACTGAGGTCTAAAAGAAATTACTCACATTTACAGGGAGAAAAAGCACAAAGCTACAAATTGACAGCCTCTCTTTGGTACTGCAGCTATAATTTCAAATGTCAAAAACCTTTGACATGCCGTGTAGATTACATCTTTAAGAGAGCCGTACTTCTGTTTAAAATCTGAAATGAAAGGACTTTTACCTATTTTGAATTGTAATTTCAGAAAACTCTTTAGGCTGCAATATTTAATTTATTTTTCCGAGGTCTGAGTTACTCATGCTACCAAATTGCTCGGTCTTAGCAGAAGCTGATCTCTGTTGGAATTCTGCACCTATATGCAAAACTTAAATAGAAGGGAGGGAAATTTAAAAGTATAATTAATTAAAAGCCCATATCAGGACCTTGACTTGTAAAAGAATGCTTGCAACCAAAAACACAGGCTTGAGGTCCACTCATTGCAAAACCAAGCCCTGAATGGTTTCAGTGCCTGGGTTTAAGGCCCTGCTTGTTCTCCAGTAGCAGTGGAAAGAACAAGAAACAAATGACTCTTTCTGGATGGGTTTTTGTCTTTGCAGGGGGAGTCTGCCCAGCAGACAGCTAGGTTATAGCCTGCACCATTACTAGTGCTGGTGTCTACGTGTGAGAAATACTGATTTTCCATGGAAGTAAATTTAAATAGGACACTCACCAATCCAGGAATCCACCCACTTTTGCCCTGGCACAAATCTCTCTTGATCATTGCACCTTTGAGTTGCTCACCACCCAACACTGGAGGAGATCTGGGGGAGTCCCCAGTCAACAGTTCGGTGTGCACTGGAGTCCTGTCTGATCCAATTCTCCACTGTTGGGTGCAGCAAGACAAGTTGAAGCAAGGCCTTATGTCTGTGTCATTTGGGTCACCAGAATGTTGTCCCAAAAGCAGGTTTCTTCATCTGGTGTGCAAAGAGCCAATTAACACATAGAGTCGAGATATTTGTATCTATTACAGTTCTGCTCAGAAAAGGGTGCTATGCATCCAAAGTGGCCAGCACACCGAGTTACAAACACACACCATATTGATTTCATTCTGAACACACAAATGCACACCTCTATACGTAATTATTGGTTAGTATTTTATCACAATATTATCTATTGGCTAGTTTTATTCCTCATTTTCATTTAAACTCACAGTATCTACTTACTAATGTACTCATGGTCAAAGGGTAAGGGGCTTCCTGAAGAGGTGGGTATCTTAAGTTATAGAGGTGTGGGTTTCATATTATAATGAGCTAAATTTACCTAAAGGACACAAAAATAGGTACTTTCTACAGCATTGTTTCAGATCACCATTCTGTTGGTCATAAATCCTTAACCATACAATAGTTCTACTCTAGAATTAAGAAACAATAAATTTGTTTATAGTGATAGTGTAAGAGATTTATCTGTAACTCTTTGAAACAAGGACAGAGAGAAACAGCCTGAGGGAAGCACAGTTAACAGTGGGAGTGGGGAGGAAGCCCTCTAAGCCAAGGAATGTCTCAAACACTCGCAAGTAAGGAAACTATCATCACTGGGTGGATAACATGGAGGCTGAAGCTGATAAGATTGCCTGGATAGCACAGGATGCAGCCGGAGGAGGGGGCCCTGTAGAGACAAGACAATTCTGCTCTAGTACATCTTGTAAAGTTTCAAGGGCCATTTCTCTGGTGAATGACCTTTGCTTCGTTATCCACGAAATGCATATTAAAGTTGACACCCCTGCATATGCTAATGAAGATTAACAAGATCATGCTAGTTGCATCATCCCATGAAGCACTTTACTCCTCCCCATACATGTGGTACATAGGTATGTGGGTCAACCTATGGGAGGGACCCAAGGAAAATGTGTATAAATTGAGGGAGGGGCAAGGAGTGAAAAAGAAGCAAAGAAATAAGTGAAGACAGATCCAACCTTGAACCTTCGTTGGCTGGACCAAATGCAGGATCCGGGACCGGTGATCTCTATTTCTATCCCCATTTCTATCTCTTTATATCTCTTTTTACCCCTTTCCTCGTTATCATTAAGTAACTCAAGGCATATCATACCGCTTGCCATAATTTGTTATATACTTAGTAAATTATCATGTATCCAATTAGTACATTGTGGGAAATTAATAAATGTTGTGTGGACTTTGAGACTTGTCTCACTGTTGTCCACTCCATTGGGGATTTATGAATTTAAGTCACTTGTCTCCCTCTTCTGAGCAGGACATGAAAAATAGTGATCCTGGTTCCAAATAAAAACTTAGATTCTGAGCTGCAGATCAGATGAGAAACACTGTTTTTTGTCTTTTGCTAAATTTTTGCTCTTTTACCCTTTTACAACAGTGGGCGGTACTGATAGTCCTTACTATCCTGAAGTTATGGAATGCCTTCTGTGAAATGGGTGGAATGACTCTGACTAACAATCTTAGCACTCCTCTGGAGACAGGAACATTTTGGTAGAATATTAACAGTTCATGAGAAATTAATATGAAAGCAAGAATGTAAGTGAAATAGTAAGCAGGAGGTGGAGTTTTATGTGCCTTGTGTTCCTATAGACTGTTTGCTTCTTGGTTCTAGTATCACATAACTGCTGACAAAACGAAGAGGAGTTTCTAAACAAGGATGGGAGTTTCACAACCCTCATGAGCATACTGAGACAGTTTCCATAGGATCTGTGCAAGATTGGAAATACACAGAGGGCTTGCTAATCTCCCCAAAAAGGACAGAAAATGTGAAGTTTGTTCAGAACAGCAACTGTCAAGACACTCCCAGCTGTACTCTGCTACCTGTTTCCAGTGTCTATCACAGTTCCATAATTTCAAAGTACAGGAAGCCACTTGAAAGGTAATTTTATTTGATTGAACACAAGGAGACACAGACTAGGGAGCCTGCAATTGGAGGGTCGTGTGTGGGAGAAGGCAGGGCTGTGGACTGGAGAAAGAGGGTCAGGGACATCTTGTAGAGAAACAGTGTCCTGGGTGTCTGCATGATTTACTGATACTGGGGCAAGGGAAGGAGTCTGTTGCTCAAGCCTAGGAGAAACTCTCAATCAACCTAGGGGAAGGTTATGGTGCTTCTCCATATTTTATGTCACATAAAAGGCCTGGTAAAACAGGTCATTACCTGCCCCAGGCACTTGGTGATATCTACTGGGATAGGGAAGAAGTTTTATTGTCAAAATTTACTGCAGGAAAGAAAACAATAACAAAATTGTCTATTCTGACTAATTCTAATAGATCTTATTTTTTGCCTATAACAAATCCTTTCTCTCATGTCATACTGCACACCAGCCTGTACAGAACAGTCCTTTTTCATGTTTTACTCTCAAGAGACCCTGCTTGCACTTCTGCAGCTTGGGAGCTCCTGTTCCTATATGCAGTTATAGTATGTTCAATCACAGTATTCACAAGCTGGGGGGTAGCAAAAATTACAGAGGAATAGTCTCATGAGATATTTTCCTTTTATCTGCCATAGATATTTACACTGGTAGCAATAAATAGGTGGTAAATATTCCTCTTATGCCAGTCTCCAGCTGCAGGTGCAAACAAGGGACAAATGAGAAGTGGAAGGCATTGGAGAGTGAGAACCTCCACATTTCAGGATGTCTACATCATCATGCTTTTAAGCAATCCTGCTTTCTGAGACCAAGCCTCATTTTATTCCCACAAGGAGATAAACTGGTCACAAGACGTTGTGATAGCCTTTCAAAAGCAGGGGCTTCCTGGCTGAGCAATATAGACCCTTTTTTTGTGCTAGCTTGATAGTGGACATTAATAACATGAGCAGCCACCTCTGAACCAAAAAGGAAAGGTGAAACAACACGGTCTGGGTTGCTCACAGAGTCCCATCCTCCCAGTCCACATCTTGGGTATGTGCAAGGAATTTCTGATGCATGCTCATATGAACAACTAGTATGCAGTCAAATAGTTTGCAGTAAATGGCTCTTAAGACTTCAGAGCTGCTGCCATACAAAAGACTATTGTTCATATGCAGGATCTGCCTGGCTACCCTTTCATTATAAAAGCACAGATCACAACAGTGGCATGTTTATCTTCGCAGGGTGTTAAGTCTTACCAACTGAGCCACAGCCCCTCTTTTAGGATTAGAAATGCATTTATCCCAGCTATTCCAAAACATCCAAAATTCAGGGTAAGGCACATGTACAAAGTCTGTGCTCAGGCAACAGTTTTAAGAAGGTAAAATGTGAACAGGCTGAGTCTGAACCAGATGAAAGCACTTCTTCATGAGAACGACTGCAAGACAACTCTGGTGGAGAAACAAGGGATTGTTCATGGGCAGCTGTCAGCCTGGAGAGGCTGATCTCCATAGCTGTCCTCTGCAGAAAGGTCAGCTGCTACACAGGGCAGGGGCTTACCTTCAAAATGCTTGAATCTCTCCCTAGGCTAGAATTAGTATCTGTGAACACTCTCATAGATGTGTTCATGCATTGAAAACTCCAGCCAAGAGAGATGCAAATCTCAGGAGGCAAGTAACGTCTGTAAGAAGTCCAACACTTACAGGAACTGTTTCTCTGGCTCATAAAAATTTATGAGTGAGCCTGGACTGGCATCACATCATCCTATCCTAAATTGAGTCCTGGATTTACTGTAGAGGCAATATTGGTTATTTGCACAGCTGCATTGAGCAGAGCAGACAAGTGTCTTGTGGGGAAATTCTCCTACACAGTCCTACTGATAGGAAAGTCACAACTTCATTCAAGGCTATGGCCTGCACCCTCTCTGCATTTTTTCAATTTGTTCCCCCTTCTATGATGAGCTGACTCCCAGTCCAGAAGACAAGGCATCTCTCCTCCTCTTCCTTAAGGGATAAGTAGTGGAGCTGTAAAAGGGCCTCATAAGATATTAAGAGCAGTGTTGAGGGAGCAGGGAGAGGGATCTTACAGCCAGTGAGCCTAAAAGTAGTGTAACAACCTGTGAAATGGGAATACAACCAGCAATTTTCAGGTGACTCCCTTAAGAAGAAAAAAGTCTTGGCAGTCAGGGGGAGATGAGGCAAGGAGGGAGAAGCAAAGAGATTAAGTCCGGGTGATGGCTAGGGAACAGAAAAGCAATAAGGTAGGATTGCATACATCAAGCCATAAAGGAAGATTGAGATAGACAGTTTGATGCCTCCAGAGAAAGACAGAGGATGTCAGCAGGTAGGATTCAGACAGAAGTGGCATACTGATGTCTATGCAGCCATGCATGTAGAGGGGTCTGGGTGGAACAGATGAAAGGACAGTATCTCTGGGTGCATTGCATTGTAGAAAAGGAGCAGTATTTAAAAGGAGAGAAGGGAAATAAAGGAAATTTGGAAATGAGATCTGAAATGCTGCAGGAGGGGGAGATGATTAGACCTTTAGAGGCACATAGGAGCAACTCACACTGCTGGTGCTTTTGGCACAAGATAAATTATTTTTCTCAAACTTTGTGGGCAAAATGAGTTCACTGGCTGGCAACTCCTTTCCAACCCTCTTCCCAGAAGAAAACAATTTTTACTGCTTGATCTGTTCAGCTCAGTGTTATGAAACTCACATCCAAGTTGTGACCCTCTCTCAACATGTAACAGCCTGTAAGTTACAAGACCCCTATCAGGAATGGTTGGTCTTCACAATGCACATGTGTCACTTTTAGCCATTCCTGCTTCAACTCCAGATTCAGCAGAGCACCAACAGAGGGGAAGGGGGAGCAGAAGAACAGAGCAACATGGACAGGCTTTCACAGCAAGGAAGGGAACGCTGTGCCAGCAGCCTGGACCAAGCAGCCCTGAATGTTAATTAACCCCTTTTCTTCTGAAGGGGCTAATAAAAAAGGAGAACTCAGATAATGGTCTGGCAGGTGGGAACACTGCAGGTATGTCAGGACAGGCTAATTTCCTGAGAGAACGGGACTTTGGGAAAAAAAGAGTAGCTGCAGTACAGTTAGACGTGCCTGGGCATCTCATAGGAGTCAGCCATGCTTTCCTATGCCATCTGCAAACTGTGAAAGATTTTTAACATCTAGATCATTTAATGTTGCCCCATGCATCAGCCTTACGTTTTACAGATACCCGCCGCTCTGGAGAAGTAATTTATTTCCTCAGGACACTCATACTGCTACAGCCCATGAAGAATGTCTTCTGTGTGACAGCCCAAGAAGAGGAGCATTTGGGGTCGCAGTGTCTTAGTCAAATGAGGGTCTTGATTACCCCACAGTAATCTCTGGAAAGACAATTCAGGGCTCATGTGTCTAACAGGATGGATTAAATAGCAGCAGCATGGGCTCAACCAGCTGGGAGTGTGAGCCAGGTAGTTCTCTGTAGCTTACCAAAAAGGACCATGCAATCTGCTGGCTTGTCACAGTTAAGAGCTCCAGCACAAGCCAGTATATTAAGGGCTTTTTAGTACTGCTACAGCTCAGGACAACAGGCTCGGCTGTGATGTTGCCCTCTAGTACATCTGCAATGTCTTCGCCAGGGAAAAAGGACAGGAGTGAGCTTCACGTCTGCAAGTACGAATATGCAGACTCTGTTTCCACTTTCCCTTCTCCCCAACCCTGTGTTTGGAGGTATCCATGAGGAAGCACTTCTCCTGTGCAACTCCTGCTCGTTGGCAGCACCTCAGAGACCAGTGCCAGTTAGGGCCAGCTCTTCAGAACTGCTCTTGCAACACTTGCCCATATTAGGTGGGTGGCCAAGCCATTGGCCAGCTAGCCCATAAAAATACTCATTCTTTCTACAGATAGGCTCAAAGAGCTTATCAATTAAGAGATCCCTAAGACAGAAAATCCTATGGTGAGTATTCTTTGTGGTTTTTTGTTTGTTTGTTGGTTGGTTGGTTTGGTTGTTTGTTGTTTCTTTTTTTTTATTATTATTATTATTCTTGAAAAAAAACCTGCCTAAGCAATATATTTAACTAGAAAAGAGTAAATAGGGAAATTATAATTATGAAGCACAAAATCCCCCAAAGATTAGCATCTGGTGCTATAACCTTTCAAGCAAAGGCTGTTCTCATTTACACTGAGAAAATAAACACAGAAAAATAAATGTGATGGGCCGTGGGATGAAGTCATGAATTTAACCAGCCTCTTCTATCTCCCATATTTGTGATTGTGCTCTGCGAGACACTTCAGATTGGTGGCTGCAGTCTCCTATTCAACAGCTAAACCCAAAATGCACTGCGCAGCTCCTGAAGCTCACTTAATCTTAGTTAGACTGGCAGAAAGAATGGAAGAGGTGTCAGGGGTGAAACACAGCAGGCCTGCCAGAGCCACCCGCTGCCTGGTACCAAAGGAAGAGATCCTCAGCCTTATCAGATCGCCTTGCGAAAGGCTCTGCACATTCCTAAGGAGGGGCTCAGGACCAGGCAGTTGGATAACCCAAAGCTCTGGGCAAGAGATGCAGAACAGTCCAAAATGCCTTTGATCATTTGAAAGGACAGAAAAAAAAACTCCGGAAAAAAACCCACCATCCCCCATATGCTCTCCAACATTGCACTGCTGAGAGGACGTGACTGAGTTAGGATTTCAGAATTCCTCCAGAGCAGAAGTGTATCCAACACTGCATTTTAAATATAGCATACACTTAATGCTGATTCTTTTAAATCAGTGTTGTTATTACTGCTAATGTCAAGAAAGAGCACTAAAATAAAGGCTTTTATAATTGAATGCGCTTTACACTATCTTTGGTTCTTGCCTCTTCCAGAGCAGGTGATAATTACGCTTTTATTTAGGACAAACGTTATTCTTACATTTTCTCATTCATTTTTTTCCAGTGGTTTTAAACCTCTGAACTCAAAATCCTAGAATTTTACAGGCTATTTCTAAGGCATCCAAAACAGAAATAAGCATGTTATCACCAGGTGTAAATTTCTTCTGTAATTTCTTCACCTGAAAATTGCAAGGGTGCACAAACCTGAAAAGATTGCAAAAAGTACCACTAGTTTGGTTTATAAGCCTTGCTGAGGATTACAAACACTGCGAAACAAGAGCAGCATTGTGATCTAATTGAAAGTGGGTTTTATGCTGACCATGGTAGTCTATAAAATAAAGAGCCAGTATTCTGCTATCTTGCAATATAGAAGTACCGTTAACAACAGAGAATTAAAAGATTATGTTTTCTGCATTATTTCATTCAAGAAGATTATAAGACGAAAGAAAATGAAAAGGCACATACTGGAATTTTCTCCAAAGTAGAAACTAGCTGTGACCTCTTTCATGTATTAAATGAATTAATGCATTAAAGCTTCCTCCCCTCACCCTCGAATGTCCCTGTGGGAAGCAAAATTGTGCCATCTAGTGGGATTTGGGCCAAGGCACTAGGCACTGCGGGCACCCTACAGCCCACCTCCCCTTGAACCTGTTTACACTGCAGCATGGACGTCAGTGGATTCCACTTTGCTCCCAAGTTCAAACCCCTCCTCTGCTAGAGCTGTGGGAAGGGTCTGCTCGCCCTGCCAGGCTTAGGGGCAGAGAGGGCTCTGCGTGCTCGGAAGGGGAAGATTCGAAAGCTCAGTCAGCACCTGCAGGGTGGCCAATGTGTCCCCAACAGCGACAGCCCAACTTCACAAGGGCAGGCTCTCAGAAGAGGGGGAAGCAGGGACAAACATGCCAGGGCTGGCTGGCTAGGGGGAAACTTCTCATCCTTGAGCCAGGCAGCACTGGCAAAGCAAAGCACATCCCACAGAGGTTATTTCTTTCCGGGGCAGGAGGAGGGGAGCAGAAGTGGCTTTTTCATTTCTCTGCTCAATCCGTGTTTCTTCTTGGCTTCTGACTCAGTGTGAAAGATGGGGAAAATGATTGTCGGGAGTATGACTTGTTAATTTGAAACACTGAAGCCACGGGGTTCACCACAGATGAAGACTCCCCTGCTTGCCAAACAGCCAGCAGCCTTGGTTGGCTATGCTGCACAGCCATGGAGCTGGTGTACGCAGGTGACCCTGTACTACAAACCATCTCATTTCCTAGACCGCTTTTGTAACCTTAGTTAAGCATTAGGCCTAATATAGATTTCAGTGCAATCTTTTAATCTTTGCCCTTTATGGATTAGTGCATCTTTATGCCAGACGGTCATTTTACCACTTGCAATTTTTTTCTTCTGTGCTCGTGACTGGAGAGAGCCATACAATGTACAGCTGCAATACTGAAATCGGTCCAACCGTTGCAAGTGACTTATAGACCTATCTAATAAAACCTGATAGGTGTCCTTTGGGAGCACTCTTTATTGCCTCAGTCACAACAGGTGAATGAGTAACGACTCTGCAAGGATTTTTCCGTATGAGTAAAAGTAAAGTTCACTGGTAAATCCTCAAATAATTAACAACTCTTTCCTCTACAAATGCAGTGAGAAGTGACTTTTTGCAACAAAACATAAGCTGTTGCTCTCCAATTCAGAGCATCCCCTGGAATAATTGGATCAGCTCTGCTCATTGGCAGACCTTTTGATATTCTTGTATGAATCAACATGGAAAGGAATCTTAAGAATGTTTTGATCATTTCTTTTGGATTTTTACTTCTCTTCACTGCTTATGGAGGACTCCAGAGTCTACAGGTAAGTGGAGCATCTCCCACTGGTAGGCAGGATTGTTGGCCTAGAAGGACATCAGAGCGGTGTGAAACCCATCAGTCTTTCCATGGTTTCTATGAGGAAAGCATGCCCACTATTTTTTATGATGTAGGTTAGGACATCAATGTGCTGCAGGTTAGTATTCCTCACACAGATCCATAGCGTTTACTAAATATTTTAAACTTGTACTTCTCAAATAGTTTTAATACTTGTGCCAAAGTACTTCTGTAGGTCCACAAAAGTTGTTTGAATAAAAACTACCTTTCTCTGAAATTTTTCTCAAAAGAAGATATGGCAAAATGGAAAACAAATTCAATTTCAGGAAAGGGTTTGTTATGAATATTTCTAAATTGCTATATTTTTATTATTATTATGCAGCAACATAAAAGAATAAAACTGCATGCCTAATCCATTACATAATCAAAGTATAAAATAATACAATAATTCTGGGCATCATGATATAACATAATAATAAAAAATATTATTTTAAATCAAAGGCAGCTGTGGCTTGTATTGGCATTAACATCTTAAAACACTGTAGCAGTAATGGGTTTCTAGAATGACTTGAACACTCAGGATACCACGAGGGATCTTGTCTTTAGCATAGCCAGAACAAAAACCTGAGGGCTACTATTGCTGTCTATAAATACTTCAGGGTAGATACACACAAGGAGGAACTTTTCAGACTTTAAGACTCTGCTGTTCTAATGACAAATACAAGCACGTAAGCCATCCATGAGCAACTTTAGGCAGGATATTAAAGGTGACCCTGATCAACTGGGTTGGACTTTCCCACCGGTGTGGGAATCTGGATGCTTTAAAGGTGGAGCTTGATACATAACACGATGCACTTGTTTTCAATAACAAGGCGTTGACCTCATTTCAGGAAGAGGTCCCTGCCAGCTCTGTGTATCTCTCTCTTCTCTCCTTGAGCAGTTTCTGTTTGCTGACACTGTTAAACTCCAAGTTCAGGGAAGGTCTGCAAAAACAGTCCCAAAAAATGGATGGAGATATTATGAGCTGGACAGACTAATGAGGCCGGGGAAGATAAACCCAAGAAGTCACCAGTGGGCCCCACCCTCAGGTTAAGTGCTGGAACATAAAGCCTCCCATAATGCTGCAGGAGGCAGTGGTACTGATCACAAAGTAGTCCTCTTCTCTCTCCAGTTAGAAGAGTAGTCCTCTTCTCTCTCTCTTTTCTCAAGTTAAAGAGGACTTGCTGAGACACAATCAAAAGAAAGTTATTTTACGGTATTGTAGCCTTGCAGGAGAAGCATTACAAATGTTGTTTATTTCAACATTCCCCCCCAGCACTCCCCCCCAAAACCCCAAAGCATTACCAATTAGGCTAATGATATGATTTTGAAGGCCTGGCCTCTAATTTTTGAAAGCTGTAGCTGACAAAACCAGGCACGTGGTGTTTCAGAAACAAGACCTCTGTGATCAGGAAGCCTCTTCTCCTGTTCGCAAAACAACCATTCTGATTCTCAAATATGTTGACACTGCTCAACAGAGAACCTCCTCACCTCCCAGTCCTGCTGCCCGCTACTCCCCAAGGGTGCTGTGCGACTGCCACCACGGTCCCATCCTGCATGGCTGGACCACGCAGACACACAGGGCTTGGAAGTGCTCCGTGCAGCTACGAGCAGCCTTGCTCTCCTCCAGCACTCTCCAGCGCTCCCCTCCACCATGCAGGCCCCTTTCCAAAATCCTACTGGATTGCATCAGCTTTTAACGGAAACAAACAGGAAAATGTTAATAAGCAGCATCTTGATCTTCACACTGCAACTTTCACAGTATTGAGACAAGAGGATTTTGAGCATAATAATGTAAAACCTGGTTAGATCAGTAAAATGTTATTCCTCCCTTGTGAAAATGTGGCTGAATCAATTCCTTCCAACTACAAAGGGCTGCTGTGAGCATAGTAGGATATTTGGACCTTGGCCTCTGAAGAATTTAGAAGTTAAAAAACCCCTGTAGTTTAAAGCAAAGAATCTTCCACTCTCGCTAAGTCAGCCCTGGCGATGCAGACCTGAGGACATTCCTGCCTGAGACAAACAGTGAAGGCCAAGAAAACAGCTTATCCTTCATTCAGCTTGTTTTCAAAGAGAAACTCGCACAAATTACATTACTTAATCTAAAGTCTGACCTACCAGGGCTTTGAACCTGAGGAATCCTCACCTGGGTTTGTATCACATTTTCATAAATGGGCTGCCATTGTGAGGAAAACCATAAATCCATAACCGGGCTGTTTGCAGAAAAGAGACAGTAATACCCAGACCCAGCTTCTCTGTCTCTCTCTTTCTGCCTTGAGCCACTCCCTGTACTCCACCGTAACATGTGCCTGCGATAATATTTGTCTCGTCCTCTCTTTCTGTCCATGCAGAGCAGTCTCCACTCAGAAGGCGGCCTGGGTGTTGCTTCCCTAAGCGTTCTCTATGCTGCACTCATCTTATCGTCCATGTTCCTCCCTCCAGTCCTCATCAAGAAGCTGGGCTGCAAGTGGACCATCGCAGGCTCTATGTGCTGCTACATTGCATTCTCCCTAGGGAACTTCTACGCCAGCTGGTACAGTTTAAATACTTTAACCCTGCCTGTTGGGTTTGAAGAAAATCAGTAAGGGTAAAGTTCTTCCTTCTTTTTCTTCCCCATTCCTACTCTACCTCTGTGCTGCAGAGTTGGAAGTTGGATGCAAAAGGTGTTACTTGCAAGAAACAGGGACAAATGAATCCAGTAGCAGGTGAAGCAGAGAGGTGCAAATGTGCAAAAAGCCAGAATGAATGCATCCATCCACCCACCTGAAGCTGCTTCTTTAACTCATGTGTGCAGCATAGACTTCCCTTCAGAAAAAAAAAAAAAAAAAAAAAAGATACAACAACAAAACCACAGAAGTTTCATTTAAAATCCAAATGACTTCTAGGACTCTGTCTGAAAAGAGTGAAGGGAAGGCTAACTTCCAGCCAGTGGCTCTGGCAGCAGAGAACCACAGGAGGGGACCAGCTCCTGCCTTGCCCTTTCGGAGGCAGATGAACAACTGCTCTCCAGTGACGGGGGATGCAACCCTGCGGAGGAAAGGTGTTGTGATCCACCTTCTGAAGGGCAGGTGCAGTTTCATTCTCAGCTACAAGAGGATAAGGTACATGAGCACAGGCCTAGCCCCTGGGCACAGCTGGGAGTGCTTGTACATCCTAAACTTCCTAAGACTGGCCCTTTCTTGGTTCCATGTAACACATGTATTGAATCACACCAAGGATAAATCTATTTCTTTGATGTCTACTTTTGCCTCTGGATCACTGGGAAAATGATGATGATTTTTGTTATTATTATGCTACTGGTAAAAACGATGCTAAATGCAGTGTTCTTCCACAGGTACACACTAATCCCTACCTCTGTGATCCTGGGCTTAGGAGGAGCACCACTCTGGTCTGCCAAATGCACTTACCTCACCATTGCTGGCAATTCATATGCTGAGAAAGCGGGAAAAAATGGGAAAGACATTATCAACCAATACTTTGGGGTCTTCTTCCTGATATTTCAGTCCTCCGGCATCTGGGGAAATCTTATCTCATCCTTGATATTTAGCCAGGTGTCCACCAAAGGTAAAATATAATTTAAATCTTGATGCTTCTTTCTCTAAACATCAGCTGGTTCTAGATAGTTAAAAGGTAGATTTCTGTAGTTGAGCTGGTGACCGTCAGTTGCCTTCATAGACAGTGGAAACAGGCACTTCAGATGCGACTTAGCTGATCTGAAGGTAGATGTCTGAAATAGATGGTCTAACTTACTCTCTGGAAGAGTTTATTTTCTATCAACTCTTCATCAGCCGTAAAGAGAGTTCAGACAGCTAGCTCAAAAATAGATGTCTATTGAATTCCTTTTGAATTCCGCCCCTGTGTTGTAAAGTATAGATAGGCTGCTGGCAGTGACAGTCTTTCACATCTGACTTCTATTTAAAGTGGATTAAAACAACAGGCAAAACACTGAGGCAGCCTTTTTGTAAAGCCTGTGGTATTGGGTTAATTTGACGTTAAACATTCAAGGTTAGTCAAGCTGATGCTGGAGGTTGCTGAAAATTAGTCCTTTACAGAATTGACAAGGAGAAATAGAAGTAGCTGTTGGCAGGAGCCTGCGTGCCAAGGCTCCGCTGCTGTATTTCAGGCTCAGACAGCAGATGCCGATGTAGCTTGAAGAAATCACTCAGCAGCGCTGCCCTCATTTCCCACTCTTGTGATTGGTGTAAGCCTTAAAAGGGCAGTTCTGAAGATAAATTAATATTTCATCACCACTTAGAGATTCAAAGTGCTACAGTGTATTCCCATTGCAGTCCGCCATGTGTTCCCTGTCCTGTCAAAGTCTGAACGGGATGGACGTGGAACAAGCTTACACTACTACTGTGAATAGCCAAAAGCTACGGCTCTCCCCAGGCTCGGCTAAGCGGCACATCCTCTGGAGGGTATTCAAACAGGTATTAGGCTAAAACTAAAGGTCAGGGAGCTGGCATCAGGTTTTCACTCTTTGAACTCATGGCTTTATGGAAAAGTAGTTGACACAAGGTGTGATACTTCTGGATAGTCATGCTCCCTTGAAACCCAAGCAACTATAGGTGAAACAGCACCAAAGCAGCGTGTGTGCTGTGAACAGCTCTCAAAGCTAAAGGCCTTGCATATCTTCACAATGGTGATGGGCATTCATACCAAAAGCTTCCCAACTGTGCCCTCTCAGTGACAGCCAGCTCTCACCTAGAGGGAGCTTCTTGGAAGCGAGCGGGTAAGGATCTCCAGTCACTCACTTCTTTTCCTCTCCTCTGGCAGTGCAGCAAAGGTGTCCACCCATGTGTTCATATACTTAAAATGTATCATTTCACTGAGCAGTTGGAAAGATATGGCATGTATCTGCAGAATTGAAATGCATGCAATTCAGACATGTACGTACACTTCACACATTGCCTGCCTCACTGCATCCAGACACAGCAAAGCAAGCTACTCCACAAGGTACCACAGAAGGCAGTAATCAGTGTAAATTACAAGAGTCATCCTTCCTCACTCCTCAGTATTGCAGCCCTGTTTCCAAAGGAGCAGAACAAACCCTGCCTTGCAGCTTCCATATCAGCAATTGCACGTGCCTCTGCGTCTTCAGGTGATGCATGAACAGACAAAAAAATTGTTTTATGCACTTCCACACTTTACTAGTGTCACTCACTTTTGCATATGGTAATTTTGATGAAGGTCTGTTTCTTCAAAACTGGGTAGCAGTAGCCACTGGCTATATTAACACAATGATTTTCTTTATGTTACTCAGTTTTATCTGATGTTGAACCTAAAGTCGTTTATGAAGCTAGTGAAACAGCTGATTCACACTGCAGCAGCTTTCACTGGAAGCAGTGGCAGAAAACACACTAAAAGTAGTTATACAATAAGCCTAATTGAAAAATTACAGATCAAGTCCTGTTCAACGAATCAGCCAAGGTACACTGTATTGCCCTTTATTGTGCTTGGAGCAGTGACAAATTCTGCACTGAAAGCACTGAAGGAATGGTATGGTTTTTTGACCATCATTCCCCACCAGACAGCTCGTTCGGGCTCACACTTTGCGTTAGTGGTGTTTCCTTACAGAAAGGGTACTGGGGGAAGTGGGCACGGTGTCGTGGTGGCACGCAGGGTGCATGAGCACACGCGTGTGTGTGGCTCTGACACATGCCCAGCACAACACTGACAGGAGTGAACAAAGCAAAGGTCTTACTGCAAAACCTGCCAAACTGTTCTAGTTTCAAGTGTGTTCTCAAAGAGTAATAAAGCCAGTAACAAAGTAATAAAGCCAGGAAAAGCACATTTCTTGGAAAACTGCATTAGAGGGTAATCGTAATTTGAATTTATACAACAAAAAGATGTCTTGAGGTGGTTTCCGTTCCTGTAACGCACACAAAAATTATCTGGAGAGGGATAGTGTGCTCTGGCTGCAAGAACTGAGGTCCATCAGTTCAGTGGTGGTGTAAACTGGGGGACCTGTCTTGTGGGGTATTATGATTAAGAGGTACAGATACACGCTGGAACTTTACATACTGCAGATTGAGTTCAGCTTCAGATTTCAGCCTTTGGATTTAGCCCATGTCTCCATGTAACCTTCAATTCACTGTTCTGCCCTGAGCAACTGTTTCTCTTAGCCCAAAGTTCTGTGTATTAAACTGGGATTGTGAAGTTAACATCTCTAATCAGGAAGGATTTGAAACCGGGACCAATCGCCAAGCACTGGACTAACTTCTCCTTACATCCTTACATATAGTCTGCACTCACCTGATCTCTTCCTTTGGTTCTTACTGACTTAGTGGAAATCTCAGAAGAAAACCTGGCGTGCTGCGGAGCGTATGACTGCATGACTGATACTGCTAACACAACCGGGTCAGCAGAACACTCCAGCTCCTTAATCTACACTCTGCTAGGGACCTACACCGGTAAGTAATCCACACAAGCTTCAGTGAGCGTCACTGATGGGGAACCTACTACTTGTGAAAGCCAGCATGACTTTGCAGATTAAGTTTCCAACTTCCTCCTTCAATCCAATTTGTTAAAAGGAAATAAGATATGTGAGAGCTGTAAACAGCTCCTTCCTAAAGAGTTGCAAATGCTTTGCGCCAGTGCTGTATCATTTCTGTCTACCGGAGCAAGACATTCTTTATGCTTTTCACTTGGAATAAAGCTGAAGCCCAGTATGGTGACCCCACTGTTACACCCAACGTCAGCATTGCTCTGCAGGCTCAAATCAAAAGTATGCCCATGTTGCAATTAGAGGATTACAGCAGTTTGTCCAGCTATGCATGAGAGAGAGCTCTTTAAATTCACTACCTTCCGGATCAGCAATAGTGAACTGGTTCCTGACGGCACTGGGCAGATTTATTGACGCACGCAAAGGTCCCAGGTGCTAAGAGCAGCCCAGCCAGTGGTACTCAAACTCACCACCTTCTAGTCGTCTAGGGATGCCTACCAGAACTGGCTGCTGTCCTACCACGTGTAAAACAGTTTCAGCTCAAGAGCTGTACTGTAATTAGAGGTGGACCTGAACCATGGTTCCCAGAACATGCACTCTTTTGGAGGGAGGTTTTTGGATCCATCCAGATCTCAGAAGCTGAGATTGTACAACTTCAGTCAATTCTCAGCTGTGATGCTTGCATTATAACACCTCACTGTGAAAGGCAAAGATAAAGAGAAGCGCTTGGCGAGTTGGCATGACAGGGACAAGGCAAAGACAGGGAATACTGATGGCATCAGAAATTAGAAAGACAAAAAGAGAAGTGCAAAGATTCATTCAGCAAGGAAAGTTCAAAAAGTGATTGGCTTAAAACAAGTTATTGTCTGGATAAAGGGGCAGTATCTGGCAAGGCTGTGTGTCACCTTAGCTCTGTTAAAATATCTTTGCGGTTGCTGCACACAGATGTACTCTCTATGCCGGGACAGATACATGCAACTTGTAACTTGTTGTACAATCACACAGAGCATATGTGATCTGGTCAGAGCCAGCCCTCCCCGGACAAGGGCACCGCAGCAAGCCCTCCCTCCTTCCCCAACCTCCACTCCAGTAATTGGTGAGAAAATGCAAAGAATATCCCCCCCCACTTCCCTTCCAGAGTGTGCTGGAGCTGATGCCTTTCTGCTAAAGGCAGGTTTAGCTCACAAGTTCAAATTTAAATTTGATGACTAACATATACAGCACTCCCTTAGGCTTTGCTCATGCAAAATGAATGCAACCCTGATGTCTGCTGACCCTGCATCACTGGGGTTACATTTTTCTTTTAAGCTCTTAATAAAAAGATATGTCTTTTCCTACCTCGAGGGAAACCAAATAGCTAAACATTTCATTCACAGACATTTTTTAAATGTCTCCTCTGTTTGGTTGCTGAATACATATTTTGCTCAGCTTGGGTGGAGACAATAATGGGTAAGTCTTACGTTGTTCAGTTTTCTCAAGGACCGTGAATATTTATGTTCATACCAACTCCTATTAAGCCATGCAGTTACTTATCTCCTAAAACTGCTCTTGATTCATTTGACATATTTGTTAGAATGTTTGCCCTGTGAAGGTGGATGTCCTGCTCTCGTCCATATAAGTCCTGCAATCGGCCCCTAAGCACTAACAAACGCCCTGGCAGAACCGACAATGATTTACGTCATGAAGGGTTTGAAGCTCAGCCAGAGTGGAGAACCAGGACACTGCAGAATGCTATTTCCTTCTAGGAGACACAGATGAGAAATAACAAGCAATAAAGAAATTGAGGCAATTCACTGTAAATCCGCTAATATATTTGGGCATTAAAAGTTCCCAGAAAAGAGCATGCCCGTACACAGTAACGTAGGAGCACATTTAACAGGCAGTGTGGATGGGAGGTGATGCCCGGTTCTCCTCTTACTCTGAGCTCCACTTGTTTCTATGGATGGAATTCTAGTCAGCCTGAGTAAGAGAGGAAACATAACCATGCCTTGCACCTCTAGCAGAGCAATCCATAGTGAATCTATGGCTGCTTCATGTGTATCATGAGACACAGTTATCTTCCTGATAATGTGAAAAAAATCATATTGACTCACCCTTCAAGCAACAAACCTAGACCACTGCATAAGTGATCATCTTCTGATTAACTACCCCGCGTATTCCCCATTATGTTGCTTCTGCTAGGAGATTATAGGTTCAAAGCTGTAACTTCCATCTATTTCAAGTCACCCAGAGTTGCTCACTATCATCTTTAAAATAGCACCTATTCCGTACTCAAAACATGGCTCCGAGCTGACAAAAAATATAAAGAAAAAGAAGTGAGATATATTGAGATCCAGGACAGCAGTTGTCCTTCTAGCCCTTTATTTTTCTTTCCATGTATTTGAAGGAAGATCCCCCCGAGCCATGAAAACCTTGGCACTGGAAGTGAATATTCCTCCCTCGTGTTGATTTAAAGCCCTTTGATAGCTCCTGAGGGAGCTGTTTCTGGCTGCTCCCCGTCCCCGCGACCCCTGGCTTGCCCTGGAAGGGTGAGCGATCACCTTCTGCAGCCACGCAGCTGGCCTGGCGGCTGCCACAAAAGGCCAGTCACAGCTAAACCGAGGGGATTTGCGTGGTGCCCAGCTGTACGGAGAGGACGTGAATGTTGATCAGGCCTCTTGTTTACACAGAAACGGCCTTTACACTGAAGCGGAATTGGAGGCATTGGCCAAAACATCCCACAGAGAGCTATGCCCTAAGTCAGAACAATAACAGCAGCAAGCGACTTCCCATCATTCTTCCAGCATTCCTCAGTTCTTCATGAACTTTTTGTTTTGTTTTTGCAGCTAGTGGTGTGCTAGCGGTCTTGCTGATCGTTATATTTCTGGACCAGATCGCTTCTGACCAAGCAGAGACTGAGAAAGAAGTACTAGAGGCACCATCCTTTTGGTCTACGTTCCTAGCAACTTTGCAACATCTTAAAGATAAAAGACAGTGTCTTCTAATCCCTCTGACAATGTACAGTGGATTTGAACAGGGTTTTCTTTCTGGTGACTACACAAAGGTGTGGATGGCAATGAAAATCTGTTTCTATCTGAGTTTTGTGCCTTTGTGTCTTACTATTTCATCTGATCTACATTTACTTCTTAAATCAAGGTGTTTTCAATGGCAATTTGTGGCTTGCTAAATCAGTGCTTTCTTCTGCTTGAACGAACTCTGAGTGACATCGTCAATCAGGAGAGGCCAGCAGTAAATGTGTCCCTTGGAACAGAGTCAAAAAGAACGCGGTAGAGAGCTTAACTCACCAGTGGAGGCCACAGCAGAGAGCTACAGGTTCAAACTCTTCAGCCCGTTGTAAATAACAAACTGGGAGAAAAGCCAGAAGTCTGCAAAGCTTTTCTGTCTTCCTTCCTTCTGGTTTCCCTAGCATTCACATAAGTGCAAGTCAGCACACATACCACGTATTTTATTTTGACAACCTTTACGGTAAGGGGGGCAACCCTCAACGTGCCTGGCTGAACGGCCTCACCCGTCACTACTGCAAGAGGCCCAAACCCTGATGGACTGAAATGATCAAAACCAGCTCAGATCCTCCAGTTTCTCTACAAACCCAGACACACGGCAGGTGTGTTCTCTGGACATTCATTGAGAAAGCCTCCAAAGAAACGGGGCAAACTTCCTGACATGCTTATTTGACACCTAAGCCTTCAAACCTTGCATATAAGCAGAGCGTAGAACACACTTGCTGCTGTGTTGGAATGGATTGAAAGGGGCACTCCATGGCCACCTCCGTTGGTTATATGCTCTTACAGGTCAAGTCCTCATCATTTCTTGGGAGCTGCTCTTTCATGACCATGGTGCTGACTGGCAATTTTCATCTCTGGGGCTCTGAAGGGAAGGGCAGGAAATTCCTTGTTCCACTTCCAGGTGTTTTATTTGCATAGCAGGCAGTGCTCTGATTTCTTCTGCTTGTTACTGCTCTGTTTGCATGGCAGCAGTCTGACTGGGAACTCGGTTAGGACTATTGCTGCTGAAGGCCAGCTATGTCAATACCCCAGGGACCTGTCAGCAAACTCTGTAGCTGTGCTCCTTTGATCTTGTCCACGGTGGCTATTTACCAAACACTCAGGCTAAGACCCTTGAACCTTAGCTGCATATTTTCACTGACGAAAATGTGGCACCACTGCCTCTTCTCTTCCAGACATATGTGACCTGTGCCCTGGGGATACGTTACGTTGGTTATGTGATGATCTGCTTCTCAGCTGTAAATTCCCTCTGCTCTCTGTTCTTCGGGAAGATCTCTCAGTTCACGGGTAGAAAACTTCTATTTGCATTAGGTATGTAAACATCACTTGAAGGCTGATGACCTCATGTAACATATTAAATCCAGTGCTCCCCCCTTTACATGTGCTACAAAGGGAGAGCTTGCTGTCAGCTATCAGTTTAAACCATAATCAATCTGGAGGCAAACTTCATTCATGAGAAGAGAGGCAGCACAGTTAACCACCGTATTGAGGTGATTGCCTTACATCATTTTGCTGGTGGTATAGTTCACCCTGCTTTTGCGGATGGTATCTACTCAGACAGTGCCCTACAGTTTTGATGCTTTCTAGCTCTGATGTAACCAGGGATGAATGATCTTACAATACATGACCTTACAGTACAGATGTTGTGGCCTACACTATACCAGAGCACGACTTCTCCACTGGGGTGAAATCTCCTCACCTTTATGGACCGAAAGCAGCTGAGGCCCTCATGAGATACACTGTTGATTTGAGTCTTGGGGGATGGTGAACTTGAAAATTTCAGCAAGCAGTCTGGGAATTTCAGGAAAATTTTTCAAGGTTGGCCTGCTGTCCTTTTCACTATTTGTTCTATAGGAAGAAAAATGAAAGGAAGTCATATGCCAGTGTGTCAGGCTAGAGTAACTTGAAGGCTTGTGTATGGGACAGTAATTTTCAGGTTGCAGAAAAAGGAGAAGAGATTTGTATATTTAAGAACATCTCCTGTCCAGAGAACACTGTTCCAATGAGTCACAGAGTAATGGAGGCAGAAAACCACCAAGAAATATTTATTTTGTGTCGCTGTCTCCACTAAGCATACCGAAGTCTGTTGATCCCTTCCACTACACAGTAACCTGTATCATTAGAAATGTCACTGACTGTGTTAATGTGCATCTTGACATTCTAGATATTTCCTCCACAGGAAATTTAAAATCTGGGCAAGGAAGAAGACATTTAGCGTCTTTTGTGCAACAGTCACTGGTTCAGAGATTCTTCTGCATGTGTCTTTCCTAGGTGTATGTCTCAACTGATGAGATTCAGTCATGATTAAAAAAGACAATAATTAATAATAATAATAATAATAATAATAATAATAATAATAATAATAATAATAATAATAATAATAATAATAATAATAACAACAACAACAACAATAATAACAACAACAACAACAACAGCAGCAGCAACAACAACAACAACAACAACAACAGCAGCAGCAGCAGCAACAACAACAACAACAATAATAATAATATACAAACTGTAGTGTTAGCAATGCAAGACCTCGGAACCTCTTGGTTCTGTTTAACGGTCTTTGTGCTCAGCCTGTGAAGGTGGACCTGGGTGGGGTTGAATCTTAAAAAGAAACAGAAATATGAGAATCACCAGATTCTTTATCTTTAGCTCACCTTTAGCTATCCTTAACTGCCTCCTCTGGCCCAGAAAGGAAACCTGTGCTTAAGGACAAGGTAAGGAGAGCAGAAGTGCTCTTCCTCCCCCTTCCCACATGCTTCACACAGTGACTGCAGGTCTTTCAGCAGCCCCTTCACCTACTCAGTGGCAGTTCTTGTCCTTTGGGCTAACGGCTGTATCAGCGCCAAGGATCTCTCAGCTCAGGACATGGCTCAGAATTATTAATTGAAGACTGTCAAAGGACTGCATTGTCTTGTATTTCATGGGATAGCAACTCAGTCAGTGCAAATATCAGCGAACCAGAAAGATTTTAAGATTGCCTTGTGCTCAACTTGGGGGAAGAATTTGAAAATGTTACCTACCACTATCAGTCCTTTCTGTAACCACATTTGCATTTCTCTACCTTCTTTCCAAATCAACAGCCGCAGTTACAAACACCGCCTGTATGATCGCACTACTGCTGTGGAGACCTCATCCTAAGCAGCTTGCCGTGTTTTTCATATTCCCCGCCCTCTGGGGCCTCTCTGATGCCATTTGGCAGACACAAACTAATGGTAAGTCCGGGTAACAATGAAATCTATTCACTTGAGATATAAAATCTGCAGGTTTGTATTTATAAAGGCAAGGCGTGCATAAAAATGATAATGGGCTTAAGACAACATCTGAAAGAAATAAGTTAGCTCATTGGAAAGTAGTGGAAATAGAAATAAGTTGGGAACAGGAAAGTTAAATACTCATTAAACAAAGTTTTCCAAGATGAATAGAGAGAAACACTACAAAAGATGATAACGGATATTCAGAACAAATATTCTGCAGGAGCATAAGTATTTCAAAGAAAATTAGAAAATGAAGAAGAAGGATACATTTAGTCTGTCTTTTGCAATGAAGGAGAGCACTCTGGATGAAAAATCAACTCAAAGCACTGCCACAAAAGAAGCAGCAAATTGGCTGTTCGGAGTTATTAGGAACAAGTTGAGGGAGAAAACTATAGAGAACAACATTCTGCAACCAAGCAAACCCAAGCAGTTCTGATTTTCTCCATTTCAAAAATCATAATCCAATGTGATAAGGCACAAGAAGGCAATAAAAAGGAGCTGGGTCATGGGAGACTTCCACTTGAAGGAAGACTAACTAACTAGGCCACTGTAGCCTGAACAAGTGATAAGGAAAGCAGTCAGTAAATCATTACTAGTATGGAGAAAGTGATTAGAAGTTCACTTTCCCTTAATAACAGAGCTAGTGGCAAGAAATAAAGTTATCGGGCAGCTGGCTTTACAGAAATCGAAAGGAATGCTTTTTTCACACAATGAATAATCAAGGTATGGAATTCATGGCCAAAAATGTAAATGTTTTAAAGCTGGAATTACATCCCTTCAGGGCAAAATGTTCTTGGGGGCTATTAAAGCTTGGTGGTCCAGAAGAAATCTCCAACTCAGAAAGTCCCAATGTCTCTGATTGCCAGAGTCAGGAGGGCACTGGGAAGGGAAAGAGCACTGTATACTGGCCTCATTTCTTACACTCTTCTCCTAGGAGTCTGTTACTGGAAGTATAGCATTGGACTACTTATCTGATGCGTTACAGTTGTTCTTACAATCTTTTATGTTCTTCTGCTTTGTGATACTGTGCAATTATTATGCACTGACAGCTCAGATAATGAGCTGATACAAACAGACTTCTGTCAGGGATTATTTAAATTTATCCCTCCACCACAATGAGAGGAAGTTCTCTTCTAGAGACTAAAAACAGACTCTAAAATGCCGGAGAGGGCAGGAAAGAGCTGTAGTCTGTGGTGACTTGAAGTCAAGTCTGCTCATGACTGTCAGTCACACACTCTTTTTAAGTCAGTGCCATAGCCTGTGTCAGTGAGACAGTTAAATGCTCTCCCAGCTGCTCTCGTATTCTGACTCTGATTTAATGAATATTGTTTTCCTCAATCTCACAGTCATATTTGGCAGATGCCATAGGAATATGCACATGACAGAACTAGCTCATCCGGCCCTACATCAGGTTGTGTGTCTTGTCTTCCATCCCTCTGGTCCCTGTGGTTGCTTCAGCAGCTTAGATGATTTCACCCACTAGAGAAATTATCATGTTCCTCCTAGAGAGCCAGGGGGAAATCACCGCGGTCCTTTGCCCGGCACTGACAGTGATCTCCTTCCAAGCACATGTAAAGTCCCCACCCCTACACACAAGCAAGTGACCAGCCGGACTTCTTCCCTGTTCCTCCAGCAGCTCCAGCTCACATCCCTTAGAGGAGAGCTAATACATACTTCAAGGGGCACCCCCTCATCTTCTCTCATCCCAGCCCACAGCCTTGCGCCCTTGGCACAATTTTAAATCAGTGCTCTCACTATTGTCACATACTTAAGACATTCTACGGTAATCAGGACGGTTTACCTCGGCCTGCTGTGGATAGTTAATCCTGGAGTTCCCCCTAGAGGAGGATATATAGGCTCACAGTAGGTGAGTCGCTTCATCTTCTCACCTTTTCCTAACCTTTTTGTGCATCTGTGTGGACACTCTCACTTATTTCCCATGAAAGCTGCTTCATTTCAAAGTGTGTAGAGCCCTCCCCTATCTAACCTTAACACAGATGCTGTCATTCCCCCCCCCGCAATCGCCACACTTGGGGCATAACAACTGTGTATCACAGAGCAATGGGGTAGACTACACTAAAATAAAGTTCGTTCCAGGCTGACGTGCATCCTTAGAAAGGATATGAATCAGCCTGGAAAGGTTATGAACCTGGACGCAAATAATTTCGAGCTGTCCTGTTATGTGCCCGTGCCTACTAGTACCAGGGGAAGGAGTGAGGAAAGGGGCAGTGGTAAACAGGGAGGACAATTTCTGTGGAATGGTGCTGCAGAAATTGAGACCTAGGAGCCTCACCACTCAGCCAGCCCAGCAGGTCCTGCTAAACCTTCAGCCAGGCAACTTGCGCCTCTCTGCACTTGGCAGTGTTTGTGATAGGGACCAATGTTTAGTTTTGAGGCAAAACCACTGTTGTGCTCCTATGTAACTGCTACCTAATACCACGTGTGCATCCTGGCAACGAGAACTTTCCTGACAAGTCAGCCCTTCCTAGAGCTGAACCTTGGACCAGACCCTCACTCAATTCTCCCATTGCTTTGATTGAAAAATAAATCTTCATACGAGCAAGGGAAAACAGATACCAGCTGAAAGCCAGAATCTTTACACATAGAATTGTCATGGCATCAGAAATCTTCCAATAGTAAACTCTGCTCCCTAATCCCCTTCCAGAAGATAACACAGGGCATAGCAGCAAAGTCATGTGAACTACTTGTACTTGTTCATTTATTAGGCAAAACTTGGAGGAGTTACCAGATAATTCACACTACACTACACTCAGACAGTTTGATGAACTAAGTACATCTTGTGAGACACTTGTCCAGATTTTCCATCAGGTCTAAATTGAAACGTTCAGTGAATGTCCTCTTATAGTCATCAGAATGCAGTAAGTGTTTACAGACAGATGATGTCTCCCCCTTCTTCACATAACTGAAGAGTTAGTTGAGCTTCCCCAGATTTCTAGAGAACTTTGTACTGCTCTCTGCCTCTTGGCTGAATGTGCATATTTCAAACAGATGTGTTGTTAGACAGAGAAGTGGATGACAAGAGTCAAGGTTCCTGACATTTCCCCCCATTCTCTCCCCGCACACCACAGCTGAGTCAGTGGAAATGCCCACTTCTTTATCACCACTGATGCTAGCTCAGCACCCAGAGGAAAGCAAGCTCTCTCCCCTTCCCTGCGTGCCCGACTAGCCAGGCTGGGAGGCTGGGGATCCCTCCCTCTCTCCCAGTTGCGGGCATGCAGCTGACTGAATCAGCAGGAACTCCCCGGTGAACACGGCTGCATTGGGACAACCAGTTTAACTAAGCCCTTGGGTCAAGCGAGTTTTCCAGTTGCTGCCCAGAGGTTCTGTATGCATCAAGGACACATTTTTTGCCAACCCATCCAGCAGCTGAAAATTTGAAAACCTGCTGATCTCAAAGAGGCAAATCTCCTCTGCACATTAAATCTGAGCCCAGTTGCAGCAGGGAGGTCCCTGTGGTTCTTTGATCCTTTCTATCCCACGCTGAAAGAGCAACTTGGTCCCTAAGGACCATATCATCCCTAGACAAAAACACCTAAAGGACATGGTATACTCTTCTCAGTAGTTATACGTGGAGACTCTACAGTGACAAGGCCATTTATGACCATCTCCTCTTCCTCCTTACTTACTCACTCATCAGTGCAAGGGCCTTCCTTTTTGTGGCTTATAGTTTAAAAAATAATCTTCTTTGCCATCTCATTTCAATAGAGCCCATCCTTTCTTCTTTCCTCCCTCCCATTTTCTTTCCCTTTCTCTCTGCTTTCCCTGTTCTGTAACACCTGATGTATTATGTCTCTTGTAACAGTTCACAGGAGCACAATAATAGTTTAAGACAAGGCTTGTCCTTTCCTTTCTCTGACATTCATGCGGGAGGGTCTATCTTCCCCACTGTGGTCTGTTTATTCCCTTTGCAGAAAATACATGGTTGCAGAATTAATCTTAACAAGGTCTCTTCTTCCTTCTAGGACTCTATGGCCTTTTTTTTGAGAAACACAAGGAGGCTGCCTTTGCAAATTACCGTCTCTGGGAATCACTTGGATTTGTCATCGCCTTTGGTTATAGCACCAAATTGCAAGTCTACATCAAGCTGTACATTTTATTGTCTGTGCTTGTGTTGTCTATGGTGACATATGGAGCGGCTGAATACCTCGAAGCTAAGAGCTCCCCTGGGATACCTGCTGATACAAAGAAGGAGAACGTAGGACCCCTCACCCAGGAAACACGCATGTGATTGAACAGGGTCAAAGTGATGGAATCAAAGCAAACAAGACCAGTACAATGCAGATGTCTTAGGAGTAAAAATCTCTTTTGACATCTTATATTTATAGGGCAAGATTTTCTGACTTTACCCTTTCATACGAATGACTAACTAAATGTTTCCTCTTTTTTTAAATTAATGAAGTCTTAATAAATGTAAACAAGATTCTTAAAATCCTCATGTTTTTGTATCTGTGGATAAGACCTAGTAGCATAGCTTTACAACCAAGCCTGAAAAGACCACATGTGAAATCAGAAGATGAAAGCAACTGGGGTTGCTCAGCTGATTGTAGATGACAGATGTCATTTAATAGAACCACTAACTATAATTATTTATATTGTTCTTATCCAGCATTCTTTAACACTTGCTGAAATTAACATTAAGTTATAAACTGGCCATATCTACAGTTCATATCCAAACACAACAAAATCTGCTAACCTCTGATTCCACCAGCTTGTCTCAGGCCAGCAGACAACTGTGTTTCTGTCCATGTCATCTGTCTATCTCAGCACTCTTTCCCTTTTGGTTTTCCTGTCTCCAATTTTTTTGTCACCACTTACAGCAGCTTTTTCCCAAAAGAGATGCCTTCCACATGACCAAATACTTCAGTCATGATGAACTCTCCCTGCTTCCCCATCCACAGACAGAGCTGTTTTCAAGATAAGCAGTCAGGGCATGTTACTTGGGGAACCCAGTCATGAAAAGGACATAGACAACAGTGCAAGTCATAGAGTGAGAAGAAGAAGGATGGGCCTACACTGTAATATCTCCTTGAGACCTCTATGCATCTAGCAGTGGGTCAGATGAAGATTTCCGTCAGCTCATTTCAACTTCTGTTTAGTTTTACCCATACTACATTGTTTCCACATTTGGATTTTTGTGGTTTTACTGCAAGGATAAGAGTGTTACAGTGCAATTACTGGTCAGTGTCCCTACATCTTGATGAGAAAGCACTGTACAGTTAGCATGATCGTTACTATGACCAGATCCTCTGTGTGAGGCAGACAGCATAAAGGAATTGAAGACAAGTGCTGTTCATTGCCAAGATTAGTGCTGCCCCTGGAAATAAACTACATGGCTAGTTAAGTTGCTGCATGCCAGGGAGCTAACATTTGAAACTGCTTCTTCTCAGTTATAGCCATAACAGGAGGATGAGGCACCATATGGTGTGACAACATGACAGAGATCAATAATACAATTTATGTGGGAAAAAATCCCCACATTTTTAGGCTTTTAAGTAACAGTACCTTTCATGCTACTTTACTGTCTCTGTAACACTTCTTGTTCCCAAGCATCTTGACTCTGCTCCAGACTTCAACTGTGTTTATTCATAGCTTTTAAAATTATAAGCTTCTTTTCCAGGTCTCATACAATTAAGCAGGGTTCATTATGTTCTGCAGAAAAGAAGATGACAGGTGGGCTTCCTCACATATCCACCTTTTTATTACACCTTTGCCCTGTCAGCTCACAGGCATGCTGTTAATCTTTCCATTTGAAATACAAATGGCAAAACTACTGTGGCTGCAGAATCCCAACGGCCTCCCAGCTGCCCAGAGATTTCAGGTGGATTTGCTAGGCTGCTGCTGATTCTCACCCTGCCCTGCTTCCATGATACAGAAACTTGACATCATCTTGATAACAGACAGTGAAATACATCTCCAAATCCTCTTCCAACTCTGTTTTACACAGCAATGTTCAACGGCAAGTGAAGCAAAGAAGATTTTTGAGATCAGCATCAGTGAAAATCTTATCTGTGTGAATGTAATCATTTATTATTTGTAACAGCCCAAAATAGAAATCAGGATCTTGCTACACGAGATGCTATACAACCTCAGGGAAAAAGAAAAAAAAAAAGATGATTCTTCCTTCAGAAAGTATACAGCTTTTTCTGTTTGTTTCTCTTTTTCCTCTTTCCTCTTTCCTCCTGTACTGGGTCTGGCTGGGGTGGAGTTAATTTTCTTCATAGCACTCCATATGGTGCTGTGTTTTGGATTTTTGTAACTAAAACAGTGTTGATTGCTAACACACTAGTGTTTTGGCTATTGCTGAGCTGTGCTTGCACAGCATCCAGGTTTTCTCTTTTTCTCACTCTGCCCCCTCAGTGAGTAGGTTGTAGAAGAACGACTTGAGAGGTGACGCAACCAGGACAGCTGAGACAAACTGACCAAAGGGATATTGCACACCAGTGGTGCCGTGCTCAGCAATAAAAGCTCAGGGGAGAGGAGGAGGAAGTAGGGATGTTCCTGGTTATGGTGTTTGTCTTCCCAAGCAACCACTGCATGCACTGAGGTCCTGCTTTCCAGGAAGTGGCTGAACACCTGCCTGCTGATGGGAAGTAGTGAATGAATTTCTTATTTTGCTTTGCCTGCCCACACAGTTTTGCTTCACCTATTAAACTGCCTTTATCTCAAGCCAGGAGTTTTATCACTTTTCCTCTTCTGATTGTCTCCCCCATCCCGTTGGTGGGAGGAGTTAGTAAGCAACTAGGTGGGTGCTTTGTTGGTGGCCAGGGTCAACCCAGCACAACTCCTTAATTGTTTTGTACTCTGCATGCCCAGGGTTTGTCTGTAGTAAAATTCAGCAATGGCATCCTGGCAAATGGCTCCTCACACCACAGATTTCAGCAGAAACTGTGAGGAGCTACTAAGGAGGAAGAAAAAGGTGCTCTGACCTCATAGAGAACCTCAGTATCACTGACACAGAGTCAGCACGGGAGACAGGACCTTGTGGCCTGTGGTTTGGGGAGCTGTTTTCCAGTCTTGATTTTGTCACATAACTTTACTGTACTTATTTCCCGAATTGCAAAATAAGGGGAAAAACAATTCTTCCATCCCACAGGTAGCATGAGTGAAAACTCAGTTACCTTGGTAATGAAAGCCACAGCTACAGCTACTGGTGATGCTGTGAACATTCTTGTTCCTGGGACAGGGTGAGGATAAAGGTGCCCATCTGTCTTGGACATGATCTAAACAGAAATTTCCATTCAGGACACCATTATGAATGGAAACTACACAGTTATAAAATTTGTGTGGTTTTGTTTACTATAAAGGCAATAGTGATCTTGCTGCATACTATATCAAAAAATCTTCAGGCAGAAGTTCAGCTAGGAACACCTCTTCACTGAAATGCAAGAAACAAAATTATGGTTGAGGTTGCTGTGGCATGAGGCCTCTGCCCTCTCATGGCCAAGGAAGACTCCACAAGCTCTGCTTCAGTGTAGCAGGCAGTGAGCAGCAGAGGTCTGTCTGTGCTGAGGCCACAACCAGCAGTAGGGTGCAGGCAGACGCGTCCTTCTTCGCCCCATGTTTCACTACCACACAAGCTCTTCTCCCACACACAGCAACAACAGCTTTTATCAGTCTGACACTGACAGTGTGAGGTTAACAAGAGCAGCTGTAGCCATCTCAGTGGATGCTAGCTTTGGGGTTTGGAGTTGTAGCCAGATGAATCCCTCCCCAGTTATGCACTTGAAAGCTTCAAGAGCTCTAAACCCAGCAATGGGTAATAAGCCTAGTAATGCTCATCTACTGAATGCCCTCTGTTTCCTGTTATCCTCAGTCCCAAATTGTGGTTTCCTAGAGGTGTAAGAGGAGAATCAAGCCATCATGCAAGAGAACCATAAGACAGTGCAGGTAACGAGGGCACCAAGTTGAGGGGCCAGCTGTGCCAGACAGGAGAGGCCCTGAGAAAAGACACTTGAGCCATTTCTTCCAGAGACTTCAGGGACTGAGGCTGGATCACACACCAATCTCTGTTGAGGACAAAGGTGTTGGGGAGTTCATGAATTATGGCATTCATCTGCAACATAAGATAGTCAGGTTCAATTAATATTGATACATTAAGTAATTGCTTTCATGAGGCACAAAATATCGTAGTGTCCTATGGCATGAGCCAAAGTTCCAAGCTGCTGGAGGGCCTGGGATGCACGCACAGGAGGTGGGAGATGTGCCGGGGCTCAACCCACGCCTGTCTCTGCCTGTGGGGCAGGCTCCCTCCATGAGGCCTGCGGGGACGGAGGTCCACCCTGGGCAGCTGGCAGGGCTGAGCCGGCGTGCCCTGACCCTCGAGGGAGAAGAGAGCACCCTGAGCGAGGGCAGCGGGTGAAGAGTGATGCAGGGGAAGGGGGAGCTGCTGGTGACGGGTGTTCTCCCGTCTGGGTGCCCTGGACATGCGTCTCCCCAGGGAGGCTGGGGTAAAAAGACTGTGGGCGGTTAAAACAACAAACAGCCCCCCAACCACTGCAGGGAGGGAGGGAAGGAGGACGGGAGGGAGAGAGGGAGGACGGGAGGGAGGGAGAGAGAGAGGGAGGGAAGGGAGGGCCCTCCCCCATCGCCAAGCAACGGCCCGCGGCCTCCGCCGCCGCTTCCAGGCCCCGCCGCTCCCCGCTCCCGCCCGCCTCGGCTGCTGGCTCCTGCGGCCGGGGGCGGCCCGGGGCCGGCGGCAGGCCTGCAGCGGCGCGGCCGGAGAGCGGGGCAGGCCCGCGGCGGCGCCGGCCGGGCCCAGGTACGATGCGCGGCCGGGGGTGGGGGGAGCTCAGCCGGGCCGCCACCCCAGCCACCACGGCTTTAACTCCGAATAAATACAGAAGTGCGACGTGCGGCAGCCCAGCCCGGCTCCTGTGCCTGCAGGAGCGTTTGTTGGATGCTGGCAGCAGGCAGGGCGGTGGGCTGTGTCTTCGCTGAGCGTGTCCTTGTCGGGCGAGCAGCCCTGCGCCCGTCCTCTGCAACAGCCACCGCGTGAAGCTGTGTGGCCTGGGACAGACGGGGTGAACCTGGGTGCTGTACCAGGCAGAAACCATCACCTCAAGAAACAATTACGATGGTTATTTCTGAAACTAAATCCCGAGGCGGGCAGCTGCCCGACCCGCGTTAACAATCTGTGACCCTGAGGGCTTAAAGATGATAGGAAAGACCGCTGGTTGGTCTGCCAAGTTTAATTACACAGGGACATTCCATATTAACTCGGCAAGCACACACTTTTTAATGCGTAACCACTAAGGATTGTATTTCCTCCCATAGGTGTTAAACTGAGCAACTGGAAGCAGCCACGGCTAGCATGAGCCCAGGCTCAAGTGAGTGTTTCCCCGGGAACACAACTGTGCAGCCTTGGAGCCATGAGGCTGCAGATGATGACATCCTGCTCTTCTCGGGGGCAAGGTCTCCGCTCCTGGGTGCCAGTCAGCAACAGTGGCAGGTAGGTGTTGAACTTCAGTATGGTGAGAGACAGATGTAGCAGTTTTTCGCATTGTGGAAAAACATCTGCAAACACGTGGGTGGGTTTCCAAGCTATTAAGGAATGGGCTGAACACAGAGCCCTCTGGGAATGTGGGCTAGTGAATAGATGGGCACACATTTATACAAAGTAAGCTCAGTGAAATTTGTGTTCATTAATTCAGACCGATGCCTAATCCTAGAGTTACTGTTTCATAATTGCACTTCAGGAGCTTCTACTTATTTTGATATGACTTCCTTAATAGTGGGTAGCTGTTCCTTATTAGTTAAAATGTTTTATTTTTTTGCACTTAATTACCAGGGAATTTGAAGTTGACATTTTTTATATCTGGGTTTGGTGAGCCAATTTCCTGTAAACTGCTCCCTGAATGCAAGTGGTACGAAAGATGTTCCATTAGTACAAACTGACAAAAACGAATCTCCAAAGAAGGCTTCCTTCTTCAGACATTGCTAGCAGCTTAATTTTGATTACCTAGCGGAAACAGTGATGGCACAGTTTATCACACACTGGGTTCACGTACAGCAGTGCCTTTCACTGAAACACTTCTAGTAGCAGTGTTGAGCAGTGCAGAATGGACAGACCTAATTGCCGTCTATAAGTTGACTCATCCAAATGCTTAGCATGGCTACTTTCGATTACATAGTTTTTTTCTTAGTTTAATAATCTTTGCCCAGGGACTTGAGCTAGTTACTATAAAACTTGTTTAGTTTTGTATAGCTGTTGGGTTTTTTTGTTTTTTTTTGTTTTTTTTAAAACATGCGACATACTGCTGTTTAATAAGCAAACAGGAAAAAGAACTTCCAGGAAAGAAAGGGGAAGCAAAGATAATAAACACTTTCTGGGAACACCACATTAGGTTTGTATGCAAGCTCAGCAGCAAGCCCCCAACATCCTGGGGTCTGAAAAGAAGCACTGACTGCAAGAGACACATCAAGACTACTTTTCCCTTTGTGGTATTTTATGTAAATCAAGTTACATCATGACCGCACCTCAGTGCCTACTTACGTTTCTCTCCTGTCCCCTATAAGCCCCTCACTCAAGGAAAGCTCTCACAAAGGAGAATTCAACTGCAGTCTGTGCAGGGAGGGAATCTCTGTTCTCTAAGGGGATTCAGAGGAGTAATCCCAGTGCAGTTTAGATCTTGGTCCCCGCTTCCAGCACTAGCTTAAACCTGAGATGGAAGGGTACTGCAAGTCTGACTGTAAAGCACCACCAAATATATTAATATACATATTACTATTGGAATATAGAACTACATATTACTTTGGAATATAGAAAGTCATAATGTACAGAAGTCAAAATTTGGCCACAATTTCAGCTGATTAATGAGGCCTAAAGTCCGTTTCCACTAGAAGCCTCACATCCTGGACCAAAGCTTGCTTCAAATCCCTTCATTTTTGTATAATGATTCCCTCACTACAGGATATAAGATGGTTCAGGGCTATTTTTAACCTACATATTACAATCCTATGGTAAAGTAGCCATGTGCTTCTACCCTGCTCCCCAGCCTCCCTGAAATGTCTCCTGGACCCTTCCCTAAAACCCTCCTCCCATCAAGCCCCTGTTGAGACTCTACGGGCTTTGCTCTCCGCATTATAACGCCCTTGTTACAGACTCCACAACACTGCTTGTGGAAGAGCTCTGTGACTGATTTGTGGTTACCTCTTGGAGCCTGTTAGCAGCAGGAGAATAAATTGGACAGCCAAGACATAGGTACATCGTATGAGTCACCAAGTGTCAGAGGGGAGAGAGAAAAGTGGTTTTTTTCATCCTGTGAGAATTTTTTAACCGTGTTTCACATTCAAATAAAATAATGAGAATCTTAAACTGTTTAGTGACTTGCAAAACTTTTGAATTATGTGAATATACATTTTGATAATGATAAAGCATTTCATTTCACATTTGGGCTTTTAGTCTTAAAACTAAATTAGCATTTTAAAAAAGTCTTTCTGAACCATTGTCTTTTATGATAATTCAAATGAAGTAAAAAAGCTGGCAAAAGATTACTTTTGTTATCTGGAAAAAAGATTTCCATTTCAACAAATTGTAAATTTTCCACTAAAGAAACATCCCTGGCCAACTCAGCTGCACATTGCACTGAGTACTTCCAGGTGTGACATATTCCCTTGGTTTCTGTAGTTGTTTGGAAGGCAGAGGCTACTCATTCTGAAGTCTAAAACTCAACCTGAAAAGAAAGAGCAAGGATGTGATTCTGTTAATAGGGTGTGAAGGAGCCTTGTCTAGCGTATGTCCTGCCCACTTTGTATTTCTTTTGCTTGCTACTTTCTGAGAGGAGGTGGAGGTGGGTATGTTAATGCTGTGTCAGAATGGTCCTCAGCACAAACACTTTTCTCTCGTCCAAGACCCCCTCTGTTCCAAACACAGTCTAATCTTCAGGGAGCAGCTCTTTAGGGTTTCGGGAAATTAAAGCTGAGAGAAACAGCAACACTCTCAAATCTGCAGGTCCATGGGACTTTTTTGTCCACTATGCCACCAGGCAGTAAGACTGGTGTTTTAGTTTGAGTCTTGTATATATGGAACTATCCGGGAGGAAAGAGCACGCATCATGAACTGTTTATATGAGAATTGCTATGCCCAGAATAACTCAAAATATGTTTCTTACCCATAGAAATAGAGGGACACCATCATCTACTTCCACCATAGATTGTGGGAAATGGTATTTCATTCAGAATCTACATACATTTCTATTGAACGTTATTTTCTTGAGAGGAAAGTGATGAGACAAGGATGTGCCCTGCTCTTCAGGAACTGGGAAGGAGCTCACTGGAGGAATAGGAGAAGATTATCAATGAGTTAAATCAGCGTATGTCAGAAGAAGAAAAGAGCATTGGAATCAATAGGCATTTTCCTACTGTCTAGTGTCAGTTTTGCATCGGGCTTTATGATCTTAACCAAGAGAGTTTGCTCAGAGCAGGGCAACATGCTAAGTTGGAAGAATGTCTCGAGTAATGCAGCAGTGCAAAGTAACTCCTACTAGGCAAAGGTACAGCCATTACGCTGAAGGCAGTTGTGGAAAAAAAAAGTCTAAGTACACTAGGATTACAAAATCTTTGGGACAACTGCTGCTGTAGTAAGCTAGCTCAAAGAAAACAGAAATAAAGTGAGGAGGCATATAACTTCCCAGCAGTCAGTGCTTTGTGCTGATTTAACAGCTACCTGGAATCGATACCCTTTTATGTAGCTTTCAGCTTAACCATAGCCTTTGACTTCTCAGCCATGGACCACAGAAACACGCAGAGGCAACACGCTTTGAGAATATGTTCAGAGTGATGGGCATTAAGAAAACAATGAAGGTGATGGCTGCTGGCACAATCTGTGGCATTGATTTAATTGTTTCCTTCCTGGTGATTCTGTATTCTTTCAGATAGTAAGATGGAAATGATGGCAGATGACTATGACACAAGAGATACCTTGAGGCCGTTGGTGTTCCGTCTCCATGAGAATGTCCCTGCAATAGTCCGTGAGGTTTTGCTGGAACGTGGCTGGTCTGAATTTGATGAAAAGGAGCAAGATGACGCAGACTGGAACCTGTACTGGCGGAACTCACCTTTCCGCATGACAGACCACCACAGCATTAAACCATGGCAGAGACTCAACCACTACCCAGAAGCTGTCCGGATCACCAGAAAAGACTACTTGGCAAGGCATCTGAAACGTATGAAAGGAGCATATGGATCAGCTCTGTATGAATTTAGTCCAGTGGCATTCATCATGCCCAATGACTATGTCAAATTTATATCAGAATATAGCAAGGAGAGACAGTCAGTAGGCAGAAGACCTAGCTACTGGATTTGCAAGCCTGTGGACCTCTCCCGTGGAAGGGGCATACGAATTTTCCAAGACATTAAAGACTTAGTATATGACCGTGCAGTCATTGTGCAGAAGTACATTAGCAACCCCTTGCTCATTTCAGGGTATAAACTGGATCTGCGCCTTTATGTGTGTGTCACCAGTTTTTGCCCCCTCACCATTTACACTTATGAGGAAGGACTGGTGAGGTTTGCCACTGAAAAATTTGATCTCAGTTCTCTGGACAATGTCTACGCCCACCTAACAAACACTAGCATCAACAAATATGGAGCTTCATATAAAAAATATAAAGAAGGGATCGGCTGTGGCTGCAAATGGACATTCAGCAAATTTCGTTCTTACCTTAGAATATTTGGAGTTGATGACATGGTCCTCTGGCAGAAGATCAATAACATAGTGATTCTCACCCTCCTTGCTGTAACCCCTTTACCAGTGGCTTCCAATTGCTTTGAGCTCTTTGGCTTTGACATCCTGATTGATGACAAATTCAAGCCGTGGCTTTTAGAAGTCAACTACAATCCAGCCTTGTGTTTAGACTGTTCCATTGATGACGCTGTGAAAAGAAAACTTCTTCACGATATTGTTGAACTGCTGAACTACAAGCAGATTGACACTTTCAGGCAAAACCAAGTGGCTGGGATGCAGGCTGGCAGGAGGCAGGTGCCCTGGAGCACAGCTGGTGAGAGTGCCACCGAGGAGACTCCTGGCTTACTCACTTGCCAAAAAGTGGCTAAATGTCCTTCTGCTTCTTCTGCACAACCTGCCCTGCAGGCTGCAAGAGGATCAATTCGTAAGGTGGCTGCCCTGACCAAGAAAACTGCCAGAGCACATCCGAGAAAAACACTGACTTCCCAGTTGCGGGAAAGGATGAACATGCCAAAAATACTCTCCCAAGCTGAAGCCAAAACTAAAAATAAACAGCTTCCAGGAGCTGGGCATTCTCCACACAAGTCTGCAGATCTCAGCTGCTGGTTACCTACACCTGACTTCTGCAAGTACAAGTTTACCACACGCCCCTATTTCCTCTCCGATAAAGACCAGAGGCCTATCCCCCGCGTAGGAGGTTTTGTTCTTATTTTTCCTTTCAATGAAGCTGCACTTCAAGCTTCCAGGGATGGGACAGATATAAAGAGCATCATAAAGGAAATAAACAAATTAGTGCCCAAACAGTTGCCATCAAAAGAGCAGAACACAAAGAAAAGGGTAGGCTATTTAACTTCTGTGTAACTTCGTGATGTTAGGTTATATAGACATATCATAACTGACAACGTTAACTGGAAGGAGGTAGATGTACACTGAAATTGTATGAGAAAGAGATTTCAAACAATACACAATTTAAAAATTGTAATTTAGCAATTCCCATAAGAGATTATTTTTAAGAATTAAAGTACTAATTTCTTAAAGTAAATCTTGCAATATTAAAGTAATCCCAGAATAAAAATGGAGAATTGCATTTTTCAAAACATTCTCAGAAATGCTAGTCTTTGTTTCTGATTTTTCTCAGCAATCTTTGCTTCTTTTTCTTTCCTAGCCTTTATGACTTGAAAAACTGTTCAGTTTACACCGGGAAGCATTCAACTTGCACTCAGTTTACAAAGGTGCAGGTAATACAAATGACACAAAACTATCATGTTTTTGAAGAATCTAGTGAGCTTCCTGACACTAATTTCCAGAAATTAATTTTGCATTGTATGAAACAAGAGTATGAAATGACTTTCATTTTATGACCAGTAGGTTTCTGTATAAGTTCTTATGGAAAGTAATTTTAAAAAAATCTATATACTGCTCCAGTGTCTTGTTTCAGATAAACTCTTAAAGAAATAATTACGCTGCCCAAGGTAACAGAGAAATTTGTTATCAGAGGGCAGAATATAAACTGCAAATATCACATTCCCAAGACAGCATCAAATCTCTCTCTCTGCATTAGCCACCTGATGGGTAGGCAGCTTTGTTTTGCTTGCAATAAAACTGGTGATCAGCAGTGCATGGAAGAACACTAGCACTGAACTGAAGCATTTGAGGTGATGGTCAAAATACTATCCTTCCCTTGCACATCTTTGCTGCCCCCAGCTGTGTGAATGGAAGCAATTCTGTTCAGAAGTCACAGTGTATTCTAAATTTGAATCAAAACTGAGACCAAATACTGGCTATAGCATGCTTCTGCTAATGCCACAAAACTTGTGGAAAGACAAGAAGTGGGGTTTCCCAACTGTGCTCCGTCTCCCTGGAGGATTCACAGAAGTTGCAACATACCTGACAAAGCTTGTCATTTATATTGGTGTTTTTCTGTCTCCTCCTTTTCAAATCAAATCTGTGCCCTTTATTTCAATAATCCCTTTTCTATTATACTATAAAATACCACTTGAAAAATGTGTTGATAAAAACGGTGGCCAGACACAGGTTGGCAAAAGTGCTGGGAATTCCTCAGTTGTCTCACCCTTTGATTTCACCGAATGAAGGTTTGCCATTGATTTGCCAGACAGTAGCACCAGGTCCATACTTACATACTATTACAGCCTCCCTGTAAGCAGGTGCTAACAAGGTGAATGCATACATCAGCAAGGTGTTTGCATCACTGCATGTGTAGTTCTAGAGACTCTCTTGCACATACCCACTATGTGTTACACCTGTGCAGGACCATAGGTCGAATTATTCCAGAATCAAAATGGTTCCTGCAAGTACAGTCAAGAGTCTGTAATGAAGCAAGGAGCAAGCAGCAAATAAACGAACTTGTTCCTTATTTAATTTGTGTTTAGAAGGGATTATATACACAGGTTACTGAATAGCAAACAGCGATTTAAGGCTAAAAGCTGCAAACAAAGCCTGTTTTCTGTATTACTATAGAAACAAAGAGAATGTCAGCATATTAACTTAACTGGAGAACAGGGACCTTTTGTTAAAAGGAATTCCTGGGAATAAAATCAGTGGTTCTTTAGAAAACATTAGTATCACATCTAGTTTCCCAGCCAAACTGAAAATAGTAAACACATTCACTTTCTTCATGATGCTTAATTGAGAATAAAAATCAACATAAAGCAGCACTGAACTGAAATTCTTAGTGAAACACATGGAAAAGAATGATATCTTGGATTTCTTTTAATTAGTTTCCTTTTACAAAACACATGAAATATATTAAATATTTCAGTAGTGAGAAGCACAGTTTTATAAATTGTTCCTTTGTTATACAGGAGTAAAGGAAAAACAGTGCAATTTTATTATCATACTAGCCAACATCAAACTGCATCGATGTTCACAGCATTGTAATTAAATTCATAAACTGAAGCGTGTGTATGATCAATATTAGCAACACTTCTTGCACTACTCAATCTATTTCTTCCAAAGTTGCTCTGTAATTTGAATGATGATTTGTCGATAATCTGACCCACTGGAAACTGAAGAGAAGAAAGAGCATTTCCATAATCTTGCAATTATTTTGCGCTTAGCTGTGAGAAAAGGTTAAAGCGGTATTCTATGAAAGTGTGTTGGTTGCTACAGGAATTTGAAAGGCATAAGGAGGTAATTGGTCTTCTCAGTCAATGGGCAGGTAATGAGCTGAGCTCTACAGGGGAAGTCCTTCAGTGCTTTGGAAAAATTCAAGACAGATGATAGACAGGCAGTCTATGGGGAAGGTAGTTGAAAGCAGTATCTGATAAATTATTAATCCCCCTAGGTGTCAAGTGCCATCCAAAGAGCCTTAAAACTGGAGAGATCCACTGACCAGAAATATTTTTGCACTACTGGAAGAATAAAGGCAGTAGTGAGAGAGGTTAGTTCAAAAACAAAGCAACACAGAGGAGGTCTGAGGAATGAGTACTGGGGGAAGAAGAAAGGTCTGTTTCATCTGGAAAAATGACCAGGATGGCATAAACATTGCATTTTGTCTTCAAATGCACAAGACAGAGTTCTTAGATTATGATCATATAATTATTGAATAATTTAGGTTGTAAGGAACATCTAGAACTGTGACTGTTCACTCAACTCCTGCTCAGGTTGTGGTCTAATGTACATCTATGATAAGGCCTGATACATGATGGGACCTTCTGCTCCAAAGAACCCAACCAAACAGAAAACATTAATCACTTCCATACTTTTTGTGATGGTTAACTGAGAAAAAAAAAAAGAAAGAAAAAACAACATAGATTTGTTTTAGTCAGCATGAGGCAGCACTGAACTGAAATTCAAAAAGCTTTGTAGATTTGAGGTCCTTATGCCATGTTCCTTAATTGTAGTCACTTTTGTAACTAACTAGCAGAAAACCAAGGAAAAGTGTGATCAATATCAGGAAACAAACTCTTTCATGAGAAGTACTACAGGCATTTATTTTAATGTTATATGCACAAAGAGCATGACTGCACCTCCTTCAAGTCTCACTCAGGAGACATTTCGTTTGGGTAAGGTTATTCCAAACTAAGCACCAGTCACTGAGTCAAAGTAAATTTCATCCCTACACATCCATCCATTCATTTTCACAAGGTTTAAATCTCCCTAACTGTTCTGACCTGCCAAGAAAAGGGATTGAACTACTTACTTACAGTGCAGCCCATTGAGGGCAGGAATCACTTCTTATCTAGGATGATGTTACCCTTCTCATCTTTGATTCGAACTCGTCCAGTGGAGTACTTGGTTTCCTGTCTGCCATTGCAGTACACAGTTTTTACAGTGCCATCTGGGTACTCCCGCCTCTTGAAGTGCACAGTGTGGATCTCCTTTTGGCCATTACTGAATACCACTATTTTATCTCCGTTCCTGAAAGAAATAGCAATGTATGAAGTGATGAGAAGGCACTGTCTGTTATGAACCTATCTCATTGAGCTGTCTAATGTGCCACAATGAAGGTGGAAAATAATGTCAAGTGGAAACTCTCAGGCTATAATTCACCTCAGAATTTGCATGGGATGGCACTAGAGATCTGATCTCAGTGCGATTTCAATACAAAGATACTTCAGAACATAGTATAATACCTAATGGATGGTGAGGTCTGCATTTTACAAACCTTCTTCATGCAGGGATCTCAAGGCATTTTTCAAGGAAGAAATCTGTTTTACAACAGAATTCCCCCTAAGCCCAGGAGAGACGTGTAAGAAGGTCCTATCTCAGGAGTCCTCATCCTGAGTCCTTTAGTACTCACGTTGTTAGCACAGACAACCGTGATCCCAGTAACCCTGGTCAGTGTAAAGTTACATGGAACTAAATGAGGAATATTTCACAGTCACTTTTCCAGTGATAAATGGTCACCTATCATCCAAGGTGGAAGTGAACAATTTTCAGTGCCTCATTGTAGCAAATCTCTCCTTATCTTACAAATCCTTTCTCATTCCACCTGGAAATTTCCCAGCATGGAGAATTCAACCACAGTTTTAAATGTCAGTATCATTTTCCTTGTTTCCAATGTCTGGTTCCTGTCATTAGTACGAGACTTACTTTTCTACTTTTACTACTGTACCATCTGGAAAAAATGTTTCCTTGAATCCGTCACTATAGAGGCATTTCACTGTGTGATCTGGAAACTCAATTTCTTGTGTGCCATCAGGATAATGTTTTTCTGTGGAAAAGAAAATGTAAAAACTCTGTCTAGTATTCTTTCGTGTTGCTTTACACAGATCTAGATCAGGGTTTTTTGGGGGGACATTGTGGTAAGGATAGAAATGATATCTAGCATACTGCTAAAGAAATTAAAGAATCAAATCATCAGATAAACAAAATTAGAAGAGATGCATTTACATCCCATTATCATCTTTGCTTTGTAGGAAGATACTGAACAGTAAAGTGATAGAACATATTAGAAGTGAAATGCAAAGACAATGCAAAATGAGAAGAAAATACCCAATCTGCTGGAGTCAGAATCAGACTTTCATAATCAAAAACTTCCTGCACATGTAGTTCATATTTATGAGCTCTTGCATACCTACCTATCTGATTATTAGGGAACTGCAGCACCTTCAGGCCATCTGGATAAGCCGTGTGGGTTGTCTGTGCATCTGCATAATAATAAATCTGTAAGGAAAGTGAAGTGTTTGCAGCATGTTCGGAATATTTGCATAAGCAGATTCAACCATAACAATGTGCTTAAAAATAAGCCATCTTAAGTAATTTCAAGGTCATTTTCTGTCTCTGTCATCCATAGAAAGTAGCTATGTTTGCACTGCTGTTCCTTTCTCTCATTCACCCCTCTCCTCATTGCTGTGTCTAGATGATGCTACTTTCATCTCTGTAGCATACAAGAGAGCAGTGCACGCGTGAAAGTCATCTTCCCACCACGTTGCTTTGGCTCCCATCCATGCACTATTCATTTAAAATAGTCCCGCTGCTGCCAAGGCCTTGCTTATTT